CTCTCCCCCCTCTCTCTCCCTCTCCCTCTCTCCCCCCTGTCACTCACCATCCACGTTGAGCCTGGCTGTACAGAAGACTTTTCCCGCTGGGTTCTCGGCCACACAGACATAGCAGCCAGCATCTGCTGGGATAGCCTTCTCTATGTCCAAGACCCACCTGTCGCCATCCTGGCTCACCTGAGGAAAAAAACACTTTTATTATTTCTTTTCACATCAGGAAGACAAATCGCCGCCATCAGTGGTAGTATATTGTAGCAGAACAATTTCTATTAAGAAAAACAAATTTCGTTGTAGAGTTGTAGACAAGGCACACCAATTTGTCACAGACTCGTTCCTCTTCTTAAAATAGTTATGGGTTTAGATGAAATTAGCACCTTGCATGAGATAATGTCTTGCCCGAAATAAATCCGTTTATTAGTTGTTGGTTGTTTTTGTTTTTTTCAATTTTGGCTTCTCCTGAAATGAACACTTTCTGACGTGCGACAATGATGAAGGATAAAGACGAAATGAAAGGGGTCGAGTGAAGAACACGGTGTATCCATTTTAAGAAAAAGAAGCAGGGTAATAGTCTGAACTTACAACAATACCGTTGAATATCCAAATGAAATCAGTTAACTGACGAGCCAACTAGGTATTTCCCAAAATGTAGTACAATAAAAGTAAACAAAAAGTAAAGAACAAGGCAAGTCAATCTTTAAAGATTGCCTAAGTCTTGGCAAAATTTGTGTGATTTAAGTGTTTTTCACTTCTTCCCTTCAAATCTGTATTCCTTATTGGCCATCCCCATGGTTGCGGGTGTAAGATATTAGTTGACTCTTAACTTAGTATACGATTTCAAAATCAATTAAATTAATTTTAAGTCGCGTTTAGAGAAAACGTCCGATAAAGAAAAATAAAATATTGACTTTATGAGGAAATGGCGGTGACAAACATGCCCGGTATGGGGGAAAATACGCTTTTTGAGGGTTCTTATGCAATGAAATAGTTGTAGGAGAGGCTGAGGAAGCTAAAAAATGCCTGCGACTCAAATTCCTTAATTTTGAACCGAATATCGACTTTGGTGGTGTAGCCTGCAGGAACGCATGCAGAATTCTGAACGGCTGAAGATGTTCAAGGGGAAATAATCTGCAGCATTTTAAAAACCGATTTTCAACTACTTTATATCCCTTGAATCTGCAAAACGTACAGCAATGATTCGTTGTACGACGTATTTACACTGATAAGTTCGACACAAGGCCTTTCAGAGTATAATATTATTATAGAGAAGGAGAACTAGCATTTTAGACTTTTGGCACCAACTCTATGAAAACATTATCTTTTCTGCATAGGCACTTGCGCTTTTCCGCCATTGGGGAAGTCGCTTAAAGGTTGCATTGAACATGATTTTTGTGTGTATTAAAATGTATATTCAAATTTACTCCCCCCC